TGTAATCGATGATTGGTTGTGTATGGGGATTCTGAGTGTCAGCTTAGGTCCCACCTGTCCATGGCAGTTCAGACTTTGGAAAGCCTAGGATTTATAATTAACTGGTCCAAATCTAGGTTGACCCCCATTTATACCACAGAATTCATAGGAGCAAGGTTAGATGCTACATTATATAGAGCTTACCTTCCAACTCAGAGGGCCCAAGTCATTCAAAAACTAGTCTCCAGATTCAAGGTTAGATGCTACATTATATAGAGCTTACCTTCCAACTCAGAGGGCCCAAGTCATTCAAAAACGAGTCTCCAGATTCAGTAGAAATAGGTTTCAAAGAGCAATTACTATCCAAAAGTTATAGGGCCTTTTGGCCTCGACCACTGCCATGATTTCTCATGCCAGACTCTGTATGTGACTCCTTCAGAACTGGTTCTTGTGCAAGTTCCAAATGGGTTCAGACCCTCAGTGGCTTAGGCTCTCAGTTCCTAGGATAGTGGTTCATTCTTTAGAATGTTGGTCAAAAGAGGAGAATCTGCTAGAAGGGATCCCCTTAGAGTCCCATCTCACAACTTGTAGATCTTTACGGACACCTCATTGAGTGGTTGGGGGGGCACACTGTAAGGGAGCTAGAGTTTGCGGTCATTGGTCTCCAAGGGAGGCCCACCTGCATATTAATTTCTTAGAGCTCAGAGCAATCAAATATGCTCTTGCTTCCTTTACAGACATACTGCAGGGAAAACACCTCCTGATAGCAACAGACAACATGTCGGCAACATTTTGTGTGAACAAGCAAGGGGGAACAGGCTGTCTCAGTTTGTTCAGGGAAGTAACTCACATATGGGAATGGGCTGTTGGCCTAGGGGTCAGCCTAACAGCTATATACATCAGAGGCCGAGACAACAGGACAGGGGATTTCCTGAGCAGAGAGTTAGGCTTCCCACATGAGTGGTCCTTCAACAACTGTTACCTTGACCCCATATTCAGGATCTGGGGTTTACTTGAGATGGGCCTTTTTGTAACAGCAGAAAATGCAAAATGCCTCCAGAGCAGCTGGAGACCTCCAGTCCTTGGGGGATACATTCCAATTCCAAAAAAAATAGGAAGTGACCAAACAGTCCAGAATTCCAAATTTTCAACTGTGTAATTGTTAGTGACACCATCTTGAATCTGTTTTAAATTGGCTTTAATGTTATTAATTTTATTATAGTAAAAGTTTGTATACTGTTCCTGAAACCTGCATAAGGGTCAAGAAGTGATAGTTAGAACCGGACATGGAGCAACTGATTGGTTTGGAATAGGAAAAGGAGTAGGGCAAGGATGTATATTGTCACCCTGCTTATTTAATTTATATGCAGAGTCCATCATGCGAAATGCTGGCCTGGATGAATCACAAGCTGGAATTAAGATTGCTGGGAAAAACATCAACAACCTTAGATATGCAGATGATACCACTCTAATAGCAGGAAATGAAGAGGACCTAAAGAGCTAGGCTCCCTCTAAGCTGTGGAGTCTTGTGAGCAAAAATTCTCCTTGGTGAGCTACTGGCATTAAAGTTGTGAGCGAGCCATTTGGCTCCTGCATAAATTAATTTGCTGTGGAGCTATCTTTCCTAAGCTAAGACAAAAATGTGTGAGCCAGAGGCTAAAAAACTGTGAGCTAGCTCACACTAACTCCGCTTAGAGGGAACACTGCTAAAGAGCCTCTTGCTGAGGATGAGAGCGCAAAAGTTGGCTTGAAACACAACATCAAAAAAACTAAGATCATGGCATCCGGCCCTATCACTCCTTGGCAAATAGAATCATGGAAGCAGTGACTGACTTCACGTTCCTGGGATCCAAGATCACTGCAGGTGGTGACTGCAGCCTTGAAATTAAAAGATGCCTGCTCCTTGGGAGGAAAGCTATGGCAAACCTAAACAGCATAATAAAAAGTAAAGACATCACCCTGTCAACAAAAGTCCACCTAGTCAAAGCAATGGTATTCCCAGTAGTAATGTATGACTGTGAGAGTTGGACCATAAGGAAGGTCGAGCGTCGAAGAATAGATGTTTTTGAATTATGGTGCTGGAGAAGACTCTTGAGAGTCCCTTGGACTACAAGGAGATCAAATCATTCAATCCTAAAAGAAATCGACCCTTACTGTTCCCTGGAAGGCCAGATACTGAAGCTGAAATACTTTGGTCACCAAATGAGAAGGGAGCACTCACTGGAAAAGACTCTGATGCTAGGAAATATTGAAGATAACAGAAGAAGGGGACAGCAAAGGATGAGATGGTTAGGCAGTGTTACTGTTGCAACCAACATGAAATTGAGCAAACTCTGGAGGACGGCAGAAGACAGGAGGGCCTGGCCTGATGTGGTCCATGGGGTCGCAAAGAGTCAGACTCGACTGTGCGATTGAACAACAACAACATACTGTTCCGAAGGCTTATGCCATACTGTACATCACCCAGAGCTCGGAGCAAGTTGAGATACGGTGATCAATAAATTCAATATATAATAATAATACTAATTCCATTGGTTCCAGGGCTTCCTGTATGCATTTCCGTCCTTCCCACTCCTACACAAAGTAGTGTAAAATAAGACTTGACAGGTCTACGGGGATTCTAATAGCCCCTTTCTGGCACAGATGAATCTGGTTTCCAACAGTCTGGAAACTATCCAAAGGCAGGTTCAAAACCCTACCCCCTGCAAAGGATCTATCTATGGGCCCGATCCTCCACTACAACACAAGCACATTGCATCTCATTGCATGGTTAATTTTTCCGTAGACCAGTGGTCTAGAGGGGTTACTGAGATGCCAATATCCTCACGCAAACCCTCCACCAGAAAATCCTATGAGTCTAAGTGATATTGGTTTGTAACCTGGGCTTCAAGTAGGCATATTAGGCCAGGTAGTTGTGCACTTTCTGAGATTTTTGAATATTGTTTCTACATCCTCACTAAAGGTGCTTTTAGCAGCCATTTCCATGTTTCACGTAGACATACTCAAGACCAGTGTTTTCTGATGTAACATCAAAGAGGTTTCTTAGGGGCCTTTATAACCTGTATCTACCAGTTAAACCACAAATCCCTCAGTGGATCCTATCCCTTGTTTTGTCCCAGCTTGTGCAGAAACCATTTGAACCAGTGGCTATATGTGACTTGTCTTTACTGTCCTTCAAGGCTGCATTTCTAGTAGCAGTCACCTCGCCCAGGAGAGTGGGGGAGTTAAGAGCTCTGAGTTGCGACCCCCCCCCCAGTTCTTCAGATTTCATAGAGAAAAAGTGGTGTTGCATCCAAGCCTGGACTTTTTACCTAAAATGGTTTCAGAGTTTCACATATTGCAGGAGATTGTTCTATCAGTTTTCCCCCCAGAGCCACAGTCACCAGCAGAACAAACCCTGCATAGTCTGGATTTAAGAAGAACATTGTTATTTTATTTAGATTGTACTTCTAAACTTAGAAAAGTCCAAAATCTTTTCGTATGTTTTAAAGGTGTCAAGGAGAAGTCTGTGTCAGCACATACACTCTCTAGGTGGATCTCTTCAGCTGTTAGATTAGCATATAACACAGCTAAAGTGGAGTGCCCTTTCCCGGTAAAAGCTCATTCAGCAAGAGCACAGGTGACATCTGCAGCATTCTACAGCAGCACTGACATATGTGAGATCTGTAAAGGAGCAATATGGTCTTCTGCATCCACATTCGTCAAATATTACTGGATTGACGTTGACTCCAGGAGAGAAGCGGCTGTGGGAAAAGCAGTATTGCACTCATTATTCTGTTGATCAGCCCACACTCTTCTCCATGGTGGGTGAGCTTGCTATTCTGCCATATGGGACTGCACAGAAGACATGGTGATGAAAACATGGTTGCACTTACATGTAACTGATGTTCATCAAGTATCTTCTGTGCAGGCGAACATCCCTCCCTCTTTCCCTGCTGTGGGCGGGCTCTGTCATGTGTTCTTCTATACTCCAAAGTGGCGAAGGGAGAACTGAGGGAAGAGTGCTTCTTCCCTCTTTGTCACATGACCAAATGGGCAGGAAACAGGCCTTGTAAAAATGCCCTCTTGAACATTACTGTTTTGCACATTCAGCAGAATGATAGGCGTGTGGGCATATTCTTCAGCTACTCAAGCAGGCCATTCCACAAGTTGGGAGCCATCACAGAGAGAATGCATGTGAACACAATATGTGACTTTACCACATTGTAAAAACCTAAGATGACTTTTTTTTTCAAAGGCAGGTAAACTGATGTTTTAGTTGTGCAGTGGTCCAAACAGATGTCTTCGTATCACTGAATTTTTTAATATTCTTCAAAATGGTGGTCCTCCTGTTCTCCTTATATCAATACATTTTTATTGCATTCTTCTTCCAGTGAGCTCAGGGCAGTGTACATGGCTCTCTTTCCTCCCTGTTTGTCTTTACAACAACCCAAATATAGGTCAAGGCTGAGGGAATCACTTGGCCAAGGTCATTCTGTGATCTTCATGGCAGAGGGGATTTAAACTAGTGACTTTCTGACCTAGACAAACATACTCTGTAAACTGCACTGGTTCAGAGTGTGATGTAAGAAACAGCTATTTGATCCTTTCAAGTCTAGAAGTATTTCTAGGAATACAGGGCTTAGAACAGTGGCTGGTCTCCAGAGAGCTACTTTGGTGCCCCAAAGAGTTTGAATAGGCTTTGCAGAATTTTAAAAACTTTTTATTAATAAACAGACACCTTGACCTCCTATACCCATTTTCAAAAGTGGTTTGCCGTGGGACCTTGGGAGCGAGGGGCTGCTGTTCATTAAACACAGAGGATGTTTAGATGTGTGGGATTAGTAGACTAGTTCTAAAATCCTGGACAAGGCTGAGAACAGGGTTAGTCATTCACAGTTTCAAAAATGGGGGGGATCTTCATATTTTAATTTGTTTTCTGGTTATTTTCTGCAGACTTTACTAGAAAGCATTGCTTTCTCTTATATGTTATACATGTGAGGTCTACCTTGGCAGTTACAGTTCTTACATTATGCTTACAGGTGATGTAGCAGTGAAGATATTAAAGGTTGTAGATCCAACTCCAGAACAGTTTCAAGCCTTTAGAAATGAAGTTGCTGTACTAAGGTAAATCAACACGGTAGCTAAATACTCACCTAGTAACTTTATCACAGTGATCTTTGTTTTTGCCAGCTGTGGCTGATTGCCCAATACTGATTGTGTTTGCTATAGAACTTCGTTGCCTGACATTCTGTGGACAGTAAATGCAAGCAGAATTGAGAGACTATTGGGCTGCCATATTGGATCTTTTGTGTTCCAGATTGTAACCAGGAATACTTAGTATGTAATTGGTCTCTGGTGCCTGGCAAGTTGCATCTATGATGAGTGCTTGCTAGTCCTCAGTTGCTGGCTGGAATCCAAAATGGCCATAAGTACATAAGAGAAGCCAATGTTGGATCAAGCCAATGGCCCATCCAATCCAACACTCTGTCACACAGTGGCCAAAAATACCAGGTGCCATCAGGAGGTCCACCAGTGGGGCCAGGACACTAGAAGCCCTCCCACTGTTCCCCCCACCAAGCACCAAGAATACAGAGCATCACTTGCCCCACTTCTGCTCCATATGTTTATCCAATTCCCTCTTGAAGCCATCCATGCTTGTAGCTGCCACTGCCTCCTGTGGCAGTGAATTCCATGTGTTAATCACTCTCTGTGTTCCTTCATACCTTCTTGGTGGCTGATGCAGAGGCTTTTCAAAGGTGTTCCACCTGAAAAGGGGAGGCTGAAAAGCCTTTGGGTTTTAGTTGCACAGTATTTCTTGCTTAGAGTCCCTGCTAGATTTATTTTTGCTTTGATCCATGTGCTGGCTTATAAATACATAATAGTGGACTTGTAATTTTGTGTAACTATATAGGACTGTACATTTTGTTAGGCTTTACTAACTCAGATGGCAAATGTTATGGCTCTTTAAAGGTTCATCTGATAACATTCATTCTTTTATTCCTACTAGGAAAACTCGGCACGTTAATATTTTGCTTTTTATGGGCTACATGACGAAAGATAATCTGGCCATTGTCACACAGTGGTGTGAGGGAAGTAGTCTGTACAAGCACTTGCATGTTCAGGAGACCAAGTTTCAGATGTTACAGCGTATTGATATTGCAAGACAGACTGCACAAGGAATGGAGTGAGTTGACTTAGATGCTGCAATGTCCAAGCTAGCTGGGTAAAGAAAGGAGAAAATAACTGCTGTTTTGGAAAATGCCCCCCCCCCACTGTACACAGTAATTGAACTAAATTTAAGGCTTTTACCAAACAGGTGTTTGCAGACAGCGAGGAACTGTTTTGAAAACTTTAGAAAGATCTGATTGTAGATGAAAATCAAACAAATGTGGTCTAAAAGCTTGGCAGATGTTCTTCCTGTAGAAGTAATAGGAACTGGGCAGTTCTTGGGAGGTACAAAAATGCAATTTCATTTGTTTGGTAGAATAGTCTCTAATTTGAATGGAGAATATATTATCAAGTATAAAATTTAAATTTTGTATGATTGAGGAAAAAATTGTGACAACAGATGTCTTTGTCATCTACCTATGATCTTTTTTCATTGTAAATATATTCCAGTTTATATTGATCAAATTCTCTTACAGCTACTTGCATGCAAAGAATATAATACACAGAGACATGAAATCAAATAGTATCCTTTTGTTACTCAGTAGAATTCTGTTTGCCTCTTTTTATTTGATCCATATGGGAAATAAGCTGTGTACTTGTAGTATGGTGTAATGATCTGGTGAGATCAGTTTCTGCCATATATTGCTGTATTGACATATACTTCTGGATACATCATCTATTCAGGGACTTTCATACTTGTTAAATAATGCACTTCCAATCCACTTTAGCAATCATTTGCAAGTGACTTTTGCCATTGGTGCTGGGGGGGGCAACAGTGGGAGGGCTTCTAGTGTCCTGGCCCAACTGGTGGACCTCCTACTGGCACCTGGTATTTTAGGGCCACTGTGTGACAGAGTGTTGGACTAGATGGGCCATTGGCTTGATCCAACATTGGCTTCTCTTATGTTCTTATATACTTATTTCACACAGTAAAATTGCAAAGTTGATTGAAAGTGCATTATTCAGTGTGTGAGAAAGTACAAATAAATTTAGACTAGAAAAACCTGCTTAAGACAAAATATTTTTTAAATTAGACTCATAATATATAAGATGCCTGTGATAATTCATTGATTGTGGATCTTATCCAGAGCTGTTACAGGGATTGTATTTGTAGTGCACAAGCAGTCCTTTCTGCCTGAGAGATGAGACGTGAGTCTGATAATGCTACATGATCTGGAGAAAGATATAAAGAGGGAAGCCTAGGTGGGGTATGGCACTTTCCTTAGTATTTAATATTTATAAGCCACTTAAAATACATCAATTGCTGTACATAATAAACTGTGTAACAATAATTTTCTTACGTGAAAATGTTGACCTGAATGCAAGGGCAGCATATGATAACTTGAATTATTGTCCAGATGTGTGCCTTAACAATCGTGTAGATATATTCCTTCATGAAGATCGTACAGTAAAGATAGGAGATTTTGGGTTAGCAACAGTCAAATCCAGATGGAGTGGTTCTCAGCAGGTGGAACAACCTACTGGATCTGTTCTCTGGATGGTAAGAATCTTGTGTGTAGCAAAATACTTATAATTGACCTGCTCTTGCATCTGTTGTACTGAGCAAACTTTGAAGCCTTCCTCCAGTGTAAGGTAGAATACATGCCACTTGGAACCAATACAAATCATAGGCCGGTATTGCTGTTTTTGGTTCTTTTTCATGTGTAGCGTGATCTACCATCTTGTATCAGTTACGCTTGAATCGCTGTGTAGTACGGTGTGTTACAGTGCAAGCCTAAAAGCACTTTCCTGAGATCAAGCCCCATTGAATAGATCTGAGTAGAGCTGCTTAGGATTGCTTTCTTAGAGCTGCCGTAAAGGAATGCTGCTTCACATCTGGGCATGTCTTATACTTTGTAGCTGTTACATGTGAGGGGGGGAAACTGATGTGTGTATGTTTGGCTGTATGTGTTCTGCTTGCTGCTTCTGTATGTAGATAGGATTAAAAATGTTGTTTGCACAGTATTCAGATAATACTTGCTCATTCTCATAATGTATGAAGCAGCCCTGAGAGTGACTGGTTAAGATCATGCAGTAGGTCTGTGGCTGAGCATAGCGCCTATTTCAGTATTATTTCTTGGCCACTCTGCTCTTTGAGGTTTCAAAAAGTTTCTTTCCTTCTTCCAACCATTTCTGTTCCTGTAACATCTTGAAGTTTAAACTGAAGATTACTTCTGTGTGATATAAAAAAGCATGTGCTGTAATATCGAGAACTTGACTTATTTGTTATACTTTCTTTAAGCTGAAATAACATTAGGTATTTCTTCCTCTTTGGGCTAGTTAATGTTCTTTAGCTACTATTTCCAAATCAGTTGTCTTGACTCTAGATTAAATTATGGTCACTGAGTTTATTGTAAAGTGTTTTTTCCCCAGATACCAATTTGTAACCTACTTTTGTTTTCGTAAAGGCACCAGAAGTGATTCGAATGCAGGATAGTAATCCATTTAGTTTCCAGTCTGATGTGTATTCTTATGGAATAGTACTATATGAATTGATGACGGGAGAATTACCATATTCCCATATTAACAACAGAGACCAGGTGAGAGAGAATAATTTCTATGTAATGCTTTGTAAGATCACTTACAAATGATTATTTCTGTTATCGTAGCTGGACCCTATAACAGACCAAACTCGGGGCTTGTCAAAATAATCAAATTGAAGTTCTTTGGTGTTCAGAGAACACATTTAATGACCCAATTAACATTCTCTAGAGATCAGGATTTTAAACTGGAATTAAACCAAGGTTTGGAATCCTGTTCTGTAGAGAACGGTGCAGCGATGCCATGCGGTGCCAAGTATAGTGATTAGACTGTTGGACTAGGATCTGGGAGACCCAGGTTTGAATCTCCACTCTACCATGGAAACTTGCTTGGTGACCTTGGACAGATCACACACTCTCAGCCGAATCTCCCTCGCAGAGTTGTGAGGATAAAATGGAGAAGGATGTTGTAAGCTTCTTCTGGTCCCCATTAGAGAGAAATGTGGTGTCTATATGAAGCAAATAAAGCAGAAATGTTTTGTTATTGAGCCATGTGTGAGAACAAAAAAAATCCCCTAGGCTCAGTCATGTAAAGCAAATCATGGTTTGCTCTGCCTTTGCGTTGTGCCACAGTTGGTTCACAAGTGAAGAACTCTGATTCCCAATCTTAACAATTTAATGCTAAAACAATGTTACAGTTTAGTCATGCTAATGTATTGTTAACACATGGCACAAGAACATCATGCAACTTTTTGATTTGTTCGGTAGGAATCCCACTGGTCCATGAGGAAGTGTTTTTATCTTAGGGTGTTGGGTGGTGGTGAGCCTTAGACCCAGTCCTGTTTTGTACCTAGAGATTAATACAGAGCTGGGAACTGTATTTTCACTGTTTCCAAAGTTGTTTCTCCCTATCCATTGTATAGTTAGAACCTCAGTTTTGAGAATAGCTAGGAAAGAAAAATAATTGAAGTAACACGGTGTTATAATATAAACAGACGATGAAGCCATACTTTAAAATACTTGTGTGCCATTGTGGTGATTTCATTTCAAAAAGAAAATCATAGAATTGGACAAGGACAACTGAATTAATCAGAATTTGGAACGTCTTCTCTAAGGTTTATGACATTTGGTGTCGAGAGAGTGAGAAGGTTTTGTTCCTTGTAATACTAGAACCCGGGGTACCCATTCAAGCTGAATAGTACTAAGTTGACAGAATGAAGTACCACTTTTTATTTATTTATGCAACTTATATGCCACCTCTTCAGAGGCCTTGTTGTTCAGTCGCACAGTCGAGTCCGACTCTTCGCGACCCCATGGACCAGATCACGCCAGGCCTTCCTGTCTCCCGCCGTCAGAGGCCTGCTCAAGGCAAATATGTAATCAATATATAGAATTCATTATCACAAAATATGTTAGTGCTATCTCTCTTAAATTGCTTTTTATTAGAAAAAATGGGATCTACCTCCATAAACTACTATTAGCCGTGGTTCCTGAATGGACATCCATAGACATGTGTATCTCTAAAACAGGTAAAGGTGAAGGTTCCCGTGCTCGAAAGCCAGTCGAATCCGACTCTAAGGTTGCAGTGCTCATCTCTGTTTCAAAGCCGAAGAGCCAGTGCTGTCTAAAGACATTTCCGTGGTCATGTGGCCAACATGACTAAACACCAAGGCGCACAGAACGCTGTTACCTTCCCACTTGAAGTGGTACCTATTTATCTTGCTTTCGAACTGCTAGGTTGGCAGGAGCTGGTACTAGAGACGGGAGCTCACTCCATCATGCAGCACACTCGGGTCTCGAACTGCTGAACTACCGACCTTCCACAGCCTGCAGTTCAGCTTTTTAACCACTTGAGCCACCGCAGCTCCCTAAAACAGATACTAGAGACTAATGTGAAAGCCATCCTTGAGATGTCTACCCGGCTGTTTTGTGGAGCAGTGCTGGATTAAGTAGACTTCAGTCTCATTCAGCTAGGTAATTAGGTTCTTATGAGAGGGAAGCCACTTTGTCACTGAAAGGTGCCCATTGCAAGGTGAGGGCAACCCTCTACTTTTTTGGTTTGATAGAGGATGGAGTTGGTTTCAGCAGTTCAATTTGGCTCAGGAAAGTAGTTCCTCTCTTACAGATAGCAAAAGCCATCCCTTTTTTTAAGCCCAGCACCAGATTTTTCTGCCTGAAGGTATCATTCTAGAACTAGTGGTTGGGTTTCAAGAAACACTGGGGGCTGGCTTTTGGTCTCCATTGAAGAAATATGTGGTGCTAAGCAGCACCAATAGGTTGCACATTTTTAATTTCTAGTAAGTGATTTACATTTAAAAGTAGAGAGACATTGTTATTGACAAGGGGCGATAACAAATTGGGCATAGTGGTCCATGCATAACACTGGAGCTCCACATCCAATCCAAAAGGAGGTTGACAAAGCAGCAGCAGAATCTCCTTGAAAAAAATGTATTCATGTGCATATTTATCTTCATATATTACGTTGGATCCGGGCAACTAATTGAGCTGGCTAGCAGTGGGATAACAGAACCAGAGGCAGTATATTCTGCTCCACTTGAAACCCAGTTAGATGAGCCATCTGCTGTTTAGGTTTCTGTGTTAGCTCCTAGGTTAGGAAAACAGAACTATCTACTTTCAGAGCATTTTTATGTTTAACACTTTTATCTGACCAGGGTGTGTTTGCTTCTTCTTAGATCATTTTTATGGTTGGTCGAGGTTATGCATCTCCAGACCTCAGTAAATTATACAAAAATTGTCCCAAAGCAATGAAAAGACTTGTAGCAGATTGTTTGAAGAAAGTAAGGGAAGAAAGACCTCTTTTTCCACAGGTAAGAATTCAATTCTTCTGTGAAACTTCTATAAACGAGTAGAACAGGGTGGAGAAAAAAGGCAGATACTAGTAGTGCAGTACAGTGGGTCAACTAATGTCTCAAACTAGGGAACAATCTAGAAATAGGTAGCTGCTTCTCAAATGAAAGTCTGAACTTGAATTCCTTTTGGAAAATATGCATTGGTATTAAGTAGTGCAGCACATTTTCTTATTTCCAAGAGATACTGATGCCATCAGAAAACCATGGAAAATGTACTATTTATCCAGAGTTCTATGTAGTTTTTCTAATAAATGTTAATGCCAAATATATATTTAAACTTGAGATGATATTCATTTAAAATATTTAATCTTTGTATTTCTCTAAGAACCTACATCACTAGGTCAGAATACCTGGATTTATGGGTATCCTGCATACTGATTTGTGTTTGATTTCTGCTTTGAGTCAGTAATGTGAATTATGTACAAGAACCACAGACCAAAACCAAAAACTTTGTCCTGTCTCAGCCATCTCCTACTGGATCTGTATTCTGTGCAAGCAGTAGTTAGTAGGAGGCTCGAGTTTGAAGTATACAAGCCATGGAGTGACCTTGGTGGTATTCCTTTATCACAAGCCCTGATAGTGAGATGAGATTGTGCATAAATGCATGTCTTTGTGGGCTTGTTAAGGATTTCTGGTTTGGAACAACTCATATTCCATATGATGTACAAGTACTTCAGTGAAGTTGAGTTTTACTCCCCACAACTGAGCTTCTTAATATTCAAAAGTCCTGCCTTCCTGGATTTGCAGTGAGTCAGATAGTGGTTGTTTTATAATTGACTCTTTTTTCTCATCTCTTAGATACTGTCTTCCATTGAATTGCTGCAGCATTCTTTACCCAAAATAAACCGAAGTGCTTCAGAACCTTCTCTGCATCGTGCAACCCACACACAGGACATAAATTCATGCACACTGACATCGACAAAGCTACCTGTGTTTTAGGCGATCAGAGTGCACTGCCTCATTGCCCTCCCCAGTAACTGTTATAGCAGTTGTGCTTTCAATGCCTCGGTCTACAGGACTGCATTGCCAGCGTGGGATTCGGCTGGATGCCAGTTTTAGGAATGAGCTGCTACGAATTTTTACTGTTCTGATCCTACAGGGACAATATTCCATGTTGCCTTTTTCTACGGTTATTGAAATAGTGAACAGACTGTATACAAGAAGTCCTATTACTATTTTTTATAGATGCACTTGAGCCTTATTTTTTCCCATGCAAAAAAGTACTACTTTAGCAGGTTTTGACTTTTCCATTCTGCTAAATAAACGATTATATTTGTGTAGCAGCAATAATGGCTTAGCATTTGAGCAAACTCAATACAGATGGTGCTGCTGTTTGATAGCCTTTGCCATTCAAGCTGGAGGGATTTTAACTAAAATAGCGAGCCTACAAGAAGACAAGAGAAAAGGGAATGCTCGCTCAGCAACATTTCTCCTACAGCATATTTCTCAAGGTAATGAAACTTTAAACACCAACACTAAATCATGTTGCACATGGAAGAAAACACGCTTTTTGTAAAGGTGAGAATATATTCTAACTTGTACTGCTCAGAGAAAGAAGGTAGCACAATATGCTGCAATCATCTTTCAGTAACACAAAAAGCTTGTGTACTTCGGACTCAATTCTTGCAATGCCCTGGGATGTCCATGAGGAACTATAACATGGGGAAGAAGATGAAGAGGCAAATAAGCAATGTCAATATATTTCTGCAAAAGCAACCTTTAGTCTGTTTGAAATGTTTTTCTGAGATGCACTATAAAGAAACTTCTGGCGTATACAGGTTTTTCCCGTGCTGATTTGGGTTTTAATTTTGTTTTTATTGCTCCTAAAGAAGAAGCATTTATTGTAAACCAAGGTTCTTCTGATTATCTTATTTTAATAAAATAAATTAAATTTAAGTGTGTCATTCAAGTTTTTTTAAACTGATCTTTCAGACTTGTGTGCCACACTCATAAGAAATGTATGTTATCTACTGTTTGGATCCTATGGTAAATCTGTTGATAGAAGGGATTTCCATCAGCAGAAATGGGAATTCCTTGCTTACTGTTTCTGCTGCAGCCTAAAATAATCCCAGAAATGTTGGGGGGGGGGGGATAGTCAGATCCGCAGTGGGAGAGCAGAATTGGTAAAAATCATGCCTTCCATTAACAAAAACATTCTATGGGATCCAACCTGTTACTTTGTCCTTATAATCTAGTTTCCCGAGAGTGTATTGTACCATTTGCTTGCCTTAAGAACTGGAGGAGTGTGAGAGGAAGCAAAATTACTGAAGAGACTGCCTTCTAATACATCTTTTTTAGAAGAGGGAAGCTCTAGAGTAGTTTACAGTACACAGTATTCTCGGAAACATGTGCATTATATATTGCATTGTATGCAATGTCCTATTTCACTTGCATAAAAGCTCATATTTGACATTCAGGCATAGAGAAGGACCCATTAGTGCCCTTCTCAAAAGTTTGCTCGTAGTGGCAGTCCTTGAAATTAGATCTCACAGATATTTTGGTCCATTGTATTTTATTACCACACATTCACACTCATCATTTGACCTTAACTTTGGGAAGGTGCATGCAGGATACTCACCTTTATCTGTGGAGGATCATTGGGACATGATTTGAGAACTTAATAAGCTATGACATTTGTATTTTTTAATGTTTACTTTTCATGTGTACTGTTTAATTTCTGTTGACACCATGTATCACTTAAGAATGTAGTCAATTTTGTCATGCTTGACTTTCTTGTCTTCTTTAACAAGTAAATAGTGCTGTCCAATCAAGTGATATTGATGAACTGAAACTGCTCTTGAGTAGATTTGTTTGAACATCAGTATGCTTGCAATATGCCTACTGGCAGCAGTTCAAAAGTGTTCAAATTTGTTTTTACAAAACTGATGTTAATGTTACAAGGTTCTTTTACCCAATATGTAAACCAAAGGGATATAATTCGGTATTCACACTAAGAGGCACTATTTTGCTTTGTGTTGTGAAGACCTTATTTAGAATCATTCTGTCCTATAAATCTTATATAAAATCTGAGCATAAATATGAATTGTATCAGCTAATTAGCATGAGTAGTTTATGGATAAATTAGGCAGCTGGTCTTGTCAAATGGATTTTATAGTTCAAAATGTTAAATAGGAAAACTTAGTAACAAAGTGGCAATGCTTAAAATGACTGCATCACTCTAACATAAGCTCGCATATCATTCACTTGTGTCAACATTAATATGCCGATAGAATGAGCTGATTTGTATTTGGGAGACTTCCATTGCTGTTTGAACACTGCTGCTTTTACCTTCCAGGCTTTGTGTAATATTTGGCACTTATGTAGTATAGTGAGCTGCTCGATTCTGTGAGTTGATTGTAGCGCAAGCACCATCATCTCCATAGAAAGTTGCAGTGATATATAATGGGTGAATGTACTAATTGCTAGTCCTTTTATGGATTAATATTGGTTAAATTGCAGGAAGCACAGAAGAGGAATAAATGGACAATTCTCTCAACAGAGGGAAGTGAGCAGCAGGGTCCCAAAAGGATTAGTGCTATGTAATTCATAAACGATTTGGCATTGCGATGAACAGCTTAGTGGCCAAATTTGTGGATGATACGGAATTTTCAGGATAGTTAAAACTGAAGTGGATTGTGAAGAGGAAGATCTATCTAAATTGGTGAATGGGTAACAGTGTGGCAAAGGTCAGTGTAGGAAATAACTCTAATTGTTACAGCAAAACAAAATGCTGTCCAGTACCAATGAGTGTAATGAACATGGGTGGTATACCTATAAGATGTAGTTCATTACATTTAGAAAGTTCCTCTTGAGCTAGAAAATCAAAGCAACTGGAAGAACTGGCATCAGTTATAGAATATTGATATTTTCATTTAAATATTGAAGCTAAAGCTGAAAATGAAATTCTTTCCAGCAGTAAGTGGGGTGGGTGCATGTGCCTGTGGTCACAACACCAATGCTGGAAGCTAGTGTGTAACCGAAGAACTTGAAGAGTTAGCAGAAGAATGGAACCAGCATACTCTGAAACACTTCTGGCTCTTGTCCAAGCTAAAATTACTGCCTGCTTAAGCTTCTAGTTTCTGCCTTCTGCTACAAGGCATGGACCTATAAGTTAAAAAGGGCACTTAAAGCACTGGTGTGGCTCAATTCCAATATTGGAAATATGATATGAAATTTAAACCATCCCATACTCTGATTAAATGCAAGTGGGAGGATAATTCAGTCTACAAATGCACTGAACCCTAAAACCTTGCAACATAACCCTGCTCAGCAGGCAAGGGAGTCTATTTTTATAGAAATGATGGAATTCATTTTCCTGCTCCTTTAGCTAGTTACAAGTTTAGAACATCTTTAACCCTAGCCAGAGCTTAATGTTCACACTAGGGGTGTGCTTTTGGCTAAACCCAAGCTGAAAAATATCTGAAAAATACCTTATCGGTATTTTCTGGATTTTCGTTTAGCCAGATATTTCTTTGGGCATTTTCTGGCTATCTGAAATGGCCAAGTCCGAAAAATCAGGATCTTTTGGGACCACTAGTTGAAGGGTGTTTAAAGTTATTGCATTCCATTCTAATGCCTTTGGAGTTCACTCACGAAGTTGTGCCACTCTTGCGGCTTGTGATCCCTTTAAACACCTTTTCTTCCATTGAAAGTAATGGAGGATGGGAACACTTTCTTTGGGGGCCCATATAATTGGATTCCCTGGTCTAATCTTTTTGAAACTTGGGGGTGTTTTTTTGAGGAGAGGCACCAGCAGCTATGCTGCAAATTTGGTGCCTCTACCTCAAAAAAGAGCCCCCACAGATCCCCAGATTGATTCTCCATTATATCTTATGGGGACCACTGACCATACTGAAGGTGGGGAAAAAATCCTGAATCATGAAGCAACCTATATTCTACCTGCTTGCTTGGTGTGGTTGCTGAAAGTCCCTGTTTAACCATTTAGTGCTAGAGTGGCCTTGGCAAAAGTTTCATCTGATGTTTTATGCCAAGGGAAGAAATTTATTGTGCAAGTTTGAAGAAATCTAAATTATGTGGATGCCTTAAAGGAAGACCTATTTACACGATAGCTTAACCGTCTAGGGTTGACCAACTGGCTGTGTAACAAAGAAATGATGGGGCAGGCTGCAGCTGGAGACCACGGAGCTGTTTCCACTGACAGGTAAGGCAGTGTTCATTATTCAGTAACAACAAGAATCTTTCGTCCTTCTCCCCTTCAAAAGCAGTTCTCTTCTTTCTATCCTTTGTTGTTGTTCAGTTGCACAGTCGAGTCCGACTCTTTGCGACCCCATGGACCAGCTCCCGCCAGGCCTTCCGGTCTTCCGCCATCCTCTGAAGTGTGCTCAATTTCATGTTCGTTGCATCTACGACACTTTCTATCCTACCCCTTATTAACTAAATTCAAACTGGACTGTTTTATAAAAATGCTACTAATAGTTCCTAATTATTGAATATAATAGTATCAATCCAAGCCTGATGAAATAGATTCAATGAAAATCATGGTTTTTTCTCTCAAAGGGCAAGTACAGCTCCCAATGCAACTTCATCCTTGTGACCATGTTATACAAATTAGGGAGTTTATTCTGACCAAACTCCCATTCTTAACACAATTCTTAATACGCCATACAAATTAGGACGTTTTATTTGTATAGATAAAGACAAAATGCTGTATCTAAATTGCCATTCTAGACAACTGTAACAACTGACAGCTTATTTCTTGGGCAGTGCAGTATTAAACTATTGAGTGTTTTTCAAGTATACTAAGCAAACATGTTTAGTAGCCTACCCCCATTTGGTTGTATGAACTATCACAAAGTTTGATCAGAACTAGATCATGTAAGTTTTAATTTGAATAATGTTTAATGTGAGACCAAACAGCAGTGAGGACAAGCTCATAATATGCGCTTCAGAATAAATTAAATGTCCTATTGTTACTTGTATTACTTGTCTGTACCTGAATGAAGTCTGAAAGTAGCATTTGTTTTTTATTGAAAAAATGTCACACTGAGGCATGTAGAAGCCAACATTCCTTGCTTTAAAAGTTCAGGCAGTTTTGAGCTGGATCCTTTAATGCCTGACTGAAAATTATTTGTAAAGTGTCCACTGTCCCCAATTTTTCCCAACCCCCAATCTTCACCTGGGTATATTTATAAACATGTGTTCCAGCACTGAGGTGGTTGGCCATCATTAGTAACAGGAATACGTCCCGTCCCAAGTTAGTGGAACTCTCTTTTCATATTTGATTACATCTACCATTGTATCCAAAGCACTCACTTTTATTGGACTTAAACAGATTTGCTCTACAACAACAGTGTTGTACTAGAATTTCACCAGGACCTTAATAAGCCCCATGGCACAGTAATTCTAATATTGTGGTAAATGGTACAAAGCTATCTAAGGAACAGAAAGACTGATATAGGAGACAACATAGTAGAGATCTTGTGTTTCAGGGAGGAGCAGAAGATTCAGCATCTGTTCCGGAGAGATGCATGAAAAGCTCTCCAAGTTCAGTCACATCCTCAGTAACTGGCAATGTTCTAGTTTCTCGATCCTCGATAAAATCCCAGAGTCGAACAGAGTTGAGGAACTAATACAAAAAAACACAGGCAACTTTTATTAATAGCATATCTAAGCCAGTATTCATCTTGAATGTGCTTGAAGTATTGCAGGCAGTTTGATCAAAAAGGGTCTGGAGCAGTTAAATCATCATTCTTCCTACCAAATGCAGTTCTGCTTCATTTGACTCATAAGAGCTTCCTACCACAGCAGACCCACTGCAAAGATGTTCTTGAATAACTTAAATCAGGATTCTGTGCATAGCTGAGAGAGGCTGCTGTCACGTCAGTAGGTGCATCAATGCAAGCTAGCACTTACTGACATTTCTGTGGACAGAGAAAGATTTTTGCCTCTGGAGCATCTTCCCTCTTCCCTCCTGCTCTAGTGATAAATGTCCTCTGAAATGCTTGTGGCTGGGGAGGCTCCCCTGTCCCTAGGAAACAACACTTCAGGGAGCATTGTAGGATCAGCATTGGGGGTGTGTGAAAGAAAGCTGCCTACAGGAGGGCAATCTTTCCACAGAAATGTTTCGATAGAAGAGTTGGATTTGCCCTTCACTCAGACTCTCAGAGCAATTTACAATTTTCCCTTCCTCTCCCCGCAACAGACACCCTGATGAGGTAGGTGGGGCAGAGAGAGCTCTGAGAGAACTGTGACCTACCCAAGTGACTAGCTCTCCGGTTTGGCTAGATCCAAGCCACTATAGTGGGTATGGGCCTTAGCACTGTATTCCTGCTAAAAGGAGAGGGGGGGCATCTCTAGTAACTTTGACAAAGATAGAAAACACTGTAATTGCAGAACAGTTGAATGTTTTGTTACACCAACATAACACCAGCAGTACTGCACTGGTACCAGCAGGGGGAAAACCTTATCTTTCACAATTCAGGAGGAGGATTTCCTCCTTTCAATATCTCATATGGAAGAACTTGGTCCTTATTTAAGACGGTTCTCACCCAAGCTTACCACCACCTGCCACTGTCCCTTATGCAGTAATGAACACAATCATCCCCCTTAGTAAGTCTTCCAATCTCCTCTCCCTGGACCTCGTTTATAGCCGCTGCAGGGTGCTCACCTGTCCTGAGGGATCCCCCCCCCGCCCGCTTTAGGTTATAACATTCCCTGGTGGTGTACTCAAGTCTCTCTGGATTGTAGCTCTTTTATACCTTCAAACTGTTAAAACCATTGCCACTTCCATATACTTAGTAATGGTGAGGAAATTTCTTGATGATTTAACCAAATTTTAATTCACAGACACACATAATGAGAAAATTCAGGGCGTAAAAAGTGAGGGAATATCAGCTCGCTAATATACCAGGCTGACAGACTCTCTCCACATTGACCCAGACACCACCTCCTATCCCTCTGACTTGTCACATTCCATATGGAAAGTACTTCCTACCTCACACTCATGCCCTGTGCCACTCGAGTGGTCTCACATACCAAAACTTAAAACAGGCACTGCTACATTTTTATACAATTCATAGAATGTCACACAAGTACCCTTGTGTCTTATCCCCTTTTGCCTCTTTCTGAGCAGCGGCAGCACATCTGGCTTTGAACAGTAGGCCCAAAGTTGGGGATAATAAAATACAAATTCAAGTTACAGAAGTTGTTAGAAACCAATTCATTTCAGTCAGAGATGCAAATAGGCTAGGTACTCCATTTTAAAGCCAATGGTCACAACAGCCGTGTACAACAACATTTACCAGTACAAATTTAGTTTTAACCATGTTATTTGGAAAAGGGCACAGACTCTGAACCTCTCATCCTAGCCCTTTCCTATGAACTGCTGTTCAAAAGAGTGGACTGCAGAAGGAACTAAGGTAAACACTACCATTTTACGCAGGAATTCTTAATTTGTGCAACTGTACCACAAACAGCAGATGTAAGGAGAGTGGATTACATCTGAACACTAACCACAATCTTTCACACTAGTCTAAGGGCAGCTTCATCCAGGTGGCAGTGCTGCAACACAAACAACGTCTTTCACACTAGTCCAGGTGGCAGTGCTGCAACACAAACAAGGTTACTGGCTCAAAAACAAGAGTTTCAAGTCTTATCAGAGCAGATGGGAGCCCAGTTTGATTGTGCTGTGAGTAAGGGATACAGCCATGGCAGGCTAATGTAGATACTTGTAAAATAAACATGGGTAATGCTAAATTTGCAGTAAACTAACAGGAGTTGTAATCAGCTGCACTATTATAAAAGCTGTCCTTGTTAGAATAAAAAAATTACATATTCATGATCTGCACATGGAAGTATACAAAAGTTAGGTTTGTTTAAAATCACTGCTGCTATTGTCCCAGTGCTTGTATTTTAAATGCCAACTGCCCTAAGCAGTTTCATATGTTGAAGACTTATATGAATACTAAAGTTTCTAAGTCTGAATAGTGTACTGCTCCATGAGAACTCGAAGGGTTAGATCATCTTACCCGTACAGTCCCCTCAGAGCTAAGCTGTTTCCGTGGTTTCTCAGGTTCAGCCCTTCTTCCGTCAGGATAGGCATGGAGGTACAAACATTTTCCCCCAAATGGGCAGGTTCCCTTACCCTGGTCAAAGTACTTGCAGGCCTTTTTCCTGAGAAAGTATTAATTAAAAAAAAAGAGAGAGGAAGTATTAAACTTGATGGATACAAGTTAAAATTAAAGAAAAGAAACTGGAATAAGTTTCCAGCAGCATCCATTGCTTAATTTTTAACTCTTTCCTTAAGGTTATCCAGCCAACTTTAAAAGAATAATTGTACAGATGAGATTTTTTTAACACAACATCCTCCTCTGGCTACCTCTGGACTGTTTCTGGATGGCACGGTGCTTGTGCTAGGCATGTAGTAGCTTTTTAAAGTGTTACTTCCAAGGAAGATGCTCTTTGTCCCCATGTTGTTACAGTACAAGCAGGGAAAATATATGGCTGTAGAAGTGAATTACAACTGATCACGGCTTAGCCTAAAAGGTAAGATGAGTCTTCAGGAAGCCTTAAGACTTTGGGAAGCTGTAAGGAATGATTGTCTCCTACTTCTGGATAATTACTGTGTTACTGCTTTTGGGAATAGCATTAAACTACATGATTTGAGTTTTTTAAAAGTCAAATGATTCAATATTGAAGAGTAATACTACAAGAAGAAAGTTGATTCATTTGAAATGTGGTGTTGGAGGAGTGTTTTATGGATACCGTGCACCAATGCCCCCTTTAAGCTGTTGAGTCTTGTGAGCAAGAATTCTACTTTGTGAGCTACTTTGCGGCATTAAAGTTGTGAGCGAGCGATTTGGCTGCCGCATAAATTTCTTTGCTCTGGAGCCCTCCTTCCTGAGCTAAGACAAAAATCTGTGAGCCGGAGGCTAAAAAACTGTGAGTAAGCTCTCACTAACTCAGCTTAGAGGGAACACTGCCGTGGACTGCCATGAAGACAAATAAGTGGCTTGTAAATCACGTCAGGCCTGAAAGACACTAAAATGACAAGACTGAGGCTATTGTACTTTGGTCACATTATGAGAAGACAAGAGTCACTAGATAAAACAATGATGCTAGGAAAAGTTGTACTTGGCAGGAAAAGAGGAAGACCCAACATGAGATGGACTGGCTCAAACAAGGAAGCCACAAAGGCCCTCAGTTTGCAAGACCTGAGCCAGGCTGTTAAGGATAGGACTTTCTGGAGGTCATTAATTCAGAGGGTCCCCATAAGTTGGAAGCAACTTGACAGCACTTAAGACACCCAACACTAAAAGATTCAGGAACAGTAATAGAAGTCTACGGCTACACTGTTACTGGATAGCACTGGGACTCAGGAAGGGAACATTAACCCTCCCTGAGCCCTACTCTGTTAGAAAATTTCTGGCCAGTTTCCAATCTTCCACTTTTGGGCAAGGTGTTAGAACAGCCTGTGGCCTCTCAGCTCCAGAGTTTCTTGGAAGAGACTGATTTTCTGGACCCATTTAAATGTGGCTTCAGGCCAGGATTTGGGACAGAGACTGCTTTGAGGGAATGGGACCCCGTTAGTTCTGTTGGGTCTCTCAGAAGCAAATGATATTATCAGCCATGGTATCCCACTGAGCTGCCTCTCAGCACTGGGACCAAGGAGCATGGTATTATGGTTCAAGTCCTATTCTGGGGGCTTGATCTCAGAAGACAGTCCTGGAGGACTCCTGCTCTTCCCCATGGCCATTAACGTGCGGGTTGCCACAGGGTTCCATCTTATCCCCCATGGTATTTAATATTTATATGAAGCCACTGGGAGAGGTCATCAGGAGATATGGGCTGTGATGTCACCAATATGCAGAGATGCTACTAGCTCTGCCTTTTCCACCTAATTTCAAGGATGCTGTTAATGTTCTGAACTGGTCCAGCTCTGCCTTTTCCACCTAATTTCAAGTATGCTGTTAATGTTCTGAACTGGTGCTTGCAGTCTGTAATGGGCTGGATGAGGCTGAACAAGCTGAAATGGAATCCTGACAATCCTTTGGGTTAGTAGAAAGGCAGACCGGGGACTTCAGATTCCCCCTGTATTAGACTGGGTTATACTTCCCTTGAAAAGCCAGGTTCACAGCTTGGGAGTGCTGCTTGACACAGTGGTCACCTTAGACAACCAGGTGGCTCTGAGTGCATTTGCCCAGCTGCAGCTGATGTGTCAACTGTGCCTATGCCTGTGACAGTCAGATCTAGTCACAGTGATCCATGCCTTCGTTACAATGACTGGACTATTGCAATGTGCTCTACTTGGGGCTACCCTTGAAGAGTGTTCAGAAGCAGCAGCTAGTAAAGAAGCCTTTATGACTTGGGACTGGGATATCTGAAGGACTTTCTTCTCCCATACATTCCTGTCCGAGAATTAAAATTGCAGGGAGATGCCCTCCAAACTCTCCCACTGATTAAAGACACTTGTTCGATGGGTACACAAGAGAGTGCCTTTTTCATGGCAGCCCCACAATTACAGAATAACATCCCCAGGGAGGTGCGCCTGGCCCTGGACCCATCACTGTTGATCTTTAGCAGGCAGCTGAAGACGGTTTTAAGGATTGTGTTTTGATTTATTTAGCTTTTATGGTAGTCCTAACATTTTTAAACTATGACTTTTACTGGATTTATAATGACTGTTTTTATTGTGTTTTGTTTGTATTGTAAGCTATCTTGTGTTCCCCAAGGGAGAAATGAATGTTATAAATAATAAATTAACACAAGATAGCCTTTAGCAGCTATTAAAGTTAAAAAAATCTAAAAGAAACATAATAAGGAGACACACTGTTGCTTGCATTCTCATTCAGTTTTTATCTTCCTAGTCCTGCATTGCTCACTGGATGTCCTATAGTGTATGATTACATTTTTCTTTTTTCTGTACTCTGTAATTCTCTTGAGTCCTAGTGAGAAAGGAAGGCTATGAAATAATCTAAATAAATGAGAAAGGTAAATTATGATTTAACTCGCAGCATATTTGGCAGAACAGTTCTCTCAAGAACTTTATAGTCTATCTCTAGACCTATCAGCTGGGGAACCTCATTTCAACATTAAGGAGTGTCAAGTTACGTAAACTACACACCCACTATCATACATTTTCACTTGTTCCAGAAATACCCTTCAGTCAGAAATTCAAAGTGAATTTTGATAGGTCTGTTCCCTAAAATATTGGCACATGAATACAGTCATCGGTCAGGAGGATTACTGGCCAATTCTTTCCACACCTTTGAGTGGTCTGCTTTTGGAATAGTTGTACTTTGATTTCCAAAGGAATACATGATTTATAGCCAATAGACAGATTGTACACACAGTATGGCACCAAAGCCCTAAGCTGTTTGTTCTAATCAGCAGCTGCAGATTTTAGCTCTAGATATATTAATAGCACAGTCCTTGATGTGACTGATAAGCATAAACACTGCATAAATACAGAGCAACACAATGTAAACAACAAAAGCCTGGGCTGCTCAGAAACAAATGCACTGTTTAAACAGAGCAATAGTGAAGGTCACAGAACCACACAGCTGACATTTTGTTAGATGCAACAAGCATTTAACCAAATGCTACACAGAATGCAAATAATACACTGCTCAGTCACAGAAAATTTAAAATGTCTTGGCTGCAGTTTTCCCACACAGTTTCATGTCCCACTCACAAGTTCCTTTACATTCAAAGGAATACTTATTGTACTTTATGTTCTAATGACTGTGAGCTGCCATAGTTGTTTTTTGTACAGGAAGGCACGATGTAAATTAACTTGCTAAATAAAAATAAAGGGATTAAGGCTTTCAAGTTTTACATGGGGACAGTTTGGCCAAAACACTGATTTGTTGAATTAATTGCTAGCTTAAATATTTTATCCTAGTAAAGAAGGGCTATATCCACTCTATATACTTTCCACAAAGAGTCATGGGTCAAAATCAAGACCACACTGCAAGTCTAAGTACAATATTCTCAAAGACCCTTTTCAAACTGCCTTTGTATTTCGTTTTAGTAAATGGTTGCTAATGGATTTTTTCTGTCATTTCAGACAGTCCCATTTTAGTAATTGGCTGCTAGCAGAATTTCTTTCCCTGGTCATACAAACCCAAAGCAAGGTTGAGCCGCTTTTGAGGAAAACTGCTTTTTCCGTTTTCAACCCCTTCACTGCGCTTCTGAATAGCTGTGGTGTGCTGTTTGAACTGTCTATAGTACCTCCTACAATGTCGCTTTTTGCCCCATCCTTTTTTGCTGCATGATCTTCCTTGGACTTTTTTTTACGTTATAAGGTGAGCACTGTCTCAATGGTGCCGCTATAGTACTCACCTTGGAATGTTTTTTTTTAAAAGTTGCGCAGCAACAAGGGACGGGGGGGAAAGCAGCACAGTTTGAAATGACCATAGCACTTTAGAGACAGCTCATTAATGGAAGAAAATCAGCTGTATGAAACCCCTGTCCTCGTACCACTTTACTCAAAATCGAGCCAACAACTAATAACATCCAGTTTAGAACAGTAATGTGAAAAGGGCCAAAATGATGTATGGGACAGTTTGGTAATACAGACCTGTTGCCTAAACACAAACTGGGAAAACAAAATTTTCTAGATGTTTATTCTCATTAACTGCAGAATTAAGGTAATAAACCTATACACGAGTCTGAAGAAAAACATAACAACTAAAGCACAATTTACAAAAAGCCAAGAATACTGTTAGGTCCTCTGAGATCCAATAAAGTCTACAGGCCCTCACTGGGTATTCTAAAAGTGTTCCACAGAGTGTGTCTAAACATGACATAAAGCAGCAAATGAGAGGGAAAGTAGATGCAAGAAACTGACAAAATGCAATTTTATCTTGAACCTGAATACAATGTTACCCTAAGGTAACAAAAAAACTGAAAAGACAGCCTGAGTCTTTCTAGTGAACTGACCAAAGTTGAAGAATGAGACCAATGGCTTCGAACACACCACAACAAAGGCTCTGTTGTCCACTGCAACTGAAGTGAGGTTACACGTTACATTTACTTTATTTTAAAAAATTTATACCTCCCCTTTCTGCCCTCATAAGGGCTACCAAGGCAGCTAACAAATTAACACACATAATAAAATCACACCATTAAAGCCAGAGCTAAAATATACATACAAAGCGATAAAACCAACCATTAAAACATTTAGCATGAAGGAGGAATCACTGAGAGAATGCAAACAAAACAAGTAAGTTTTCATCTGCTGGCAGAAGATGGCAACAGAAGGGGACAGAAGAGTTCTGAACTGGGGGGGTAGGGGAGAGTTTCAGTGCCATGACTGAGAGGGCCCTCTCTCCTGGGTTGCCCCCCACCTAATCTCAAGCCGGGTCTCAAAAGATGACTGCAGTGACCAAGTAGGTTCATAAGAGAGTAGGCGGTCCCTTCAAGTATGTTGATCCCAAACCATATAGGGCTTCAAAGGTCAGCACCAGCACCTTGAACTGTGTCTGAAAACAGATTAGATGGGCCAAGACTGCAGTGATATGGTCACTATGACCCACTCCAGTCATCATCCCGGCTGCAGCATTTTATAGACTGTAGCCACTGGGTCTCCAGTTTACAGGGGAACAATCTGAGGGGTGGATGATGTGTCCCTTCACATGCTGACAAACCATATAACGTGTCATTCCTCCCGACAAAAACAGTATTGTGTGTGGTGTACAAAAGAAGGTGAAGTGTTCATGTATCTACTGATGGTGGTGGAGACTCTGCTTTCCACCCCTTCTAGGCACCATTTTCCTCTACTAAAGATACCACCATTTTGACTTGGGTATTATCATGTAGCCAAAAAATTCACCTGCTGCATGATACTATCATGATGCTTACTACCTTCACTATATTTTAGGCTTCCTACAAATGCTATATAGCTTCACAAAGTATCTGGAATCAAAACAGGTTATTTACAGCACTTACTCTGGTGTTTTTCGTTGAGCAATGGTAAAAGAGAAAAATGGCCTCCAGTAGTTGCAGCAAGCGTCAAATATAGGATGAAAATCTGTGTGTGTGGGGGGGGAGGGGATGGTTCAGGAACCCCCACCCCAGCCTTGGATTTGGACTGAACACAACTTTTAGCTGAACTTTCACCCCTAATTAGGATGGGGTGGAATGGGGGCCCACAGCAAAATGTTGTAGGTTGATTTTAGGTTACCCAAAGTTGGCTGCAAATGTCTGCTAACAGAAACCTTGTTAATGAGAAATTTTCCCAAAGCCAAAGCATCTTTATTCTCTCTATTCCTATCAAACATTTCTATTTCCTGAATCATTATACTTACCCCACACCCTGTTTAAATGCTTCAATCAGCTCATTCTTTTTGGTCTGGTCTTCTACCCAATACACACTGGGAATAACAAATTCAGATATCACACGACACTCTGGGCAGGACCTTGAGTAGGCAATTAAAAACAAAATGAAAAGCAAACCCTTGGTGAGAAGAATCTGTTCAGCAGCATGAAAAGGGCAGTTTTAAAGCGAATCAGAGAACAGCAAAGCCTTACTGAACTGCTAAATGTAACCCCTTGAAACAGTCAAGATCTTGAGATTCTAAACCGTTACTACTATATAATTCTATCCAGCTTTCTCAAACATAAATTAAGATGGTTCCACAGTGTAAATTAGTATATGTCTACAAATCAGGGGGATTTCGCCAAACACCTTCAACAAAGAACAACCATTTGATTTCTCAAAGCAGTTTTTCAAGTATGTGAATATAAATTACTGTATACTTTGATCTTTTACTCTAACTCAGGGGTGTCAAACTCATTTGTTACAAGGGCCAGATCTGACATAAATGGGACTTTGTTGGGCCACGCCATGTGTGTCATAAAATGTAATGCCAAGTAGCGAAGATATTAACTTTATAAAGGACACCGACAAACACAAAGGGTTTTTTAAACTTAAAATGCAAACATGCTTAAAACAGTAACACTTTTGCCATAAATTATTTAAGAGTCTTTGATAACTGACACCTCCCAAACCTTCTCCCCACCTTAAAAGATACCTACCTAAAATGGAAAGCACAAGGATCACTGTCAGCTCCATGCTGCCTCCGCTAGAGCTGGCTGACAGCTCCGCACTGCCCCAGCTCATCCTCTTGCCCATAGGCTCTGCTGGGCTGCCCAGTTGAAACCGGACTGCCCCACAGAGCCCTTCCAGGAGCCAACCTTGCAGGGAGGACTCTCCCCAAGGCCAGCAGCAGAAAGGAGGGGGGGGGATCTGCTGCTGGCCTTGGGGAGAGTCCTCCCTGCAGGATTGGCCTTTCTGCTGGCCTCAGCTGGGGCTGGCTGTCTCCTCTTGCAGCTTTCCGATGCCGGGCTGCCCAGCTGAGCCTGCAGGGGACTTACCCTGCTTCGAGTTTACTCATGTGCAGCATGGCTTGCAAAAGCCATTTAAAGGGAACTTTCCCTTTAAATGGATTTTGCAAGCCACGCCATGCGTGAGTGAACCCAGAAGAGACACAAGTTCACCCACGTCCTTCTCCATTATACCCTATGGGGACAGTCCCCATAGGGTATAATGGAGCCAAATAAATTTGGCAATCCTCATTATTTCCTGATATCATACTGATATTGGGATTTGGGGATATCAGAAAATATTGATTTTTTCAGGTTCACTATTTTTGCACACCCCTAGTTTCAATATTTAAGGCCAAAAAGGAAAAATAAAAAGCTTTCGCTCTTTCAGGCTAATACTTGGGAATAGATGTTCCATTGACTTCATGGGCTTCATTCACACATTCTATTAAAAACTCCACCCAGTCAGACACCACCTACTTTACTTGAACTTCTACTTTTATTTGATGTTCTGAAAATGTTAACATTGGTGAAGGAAGTATCACTAATTACATTCTAGAACAGCAGGTTGCAGGAACTTACTTTATAATAGGATTCTCAAACTGCTTGACACACCTCCATTGCCGGATACAGGACAAACAGTATGTGTGATTGCAGTTAGAAAGGATTCCAAATCTCCTCTCTGATGCTGATGGCTTCTCGTAAACCACCTCCATACAGATATTGCATACCTTGTCCTGACTTGCCTGAAAGGCAAAGGCTTTCTCCATCTCATGTTCAAAGGTAGCCATGCACATCTACAGGCATACAGAGAAGGCCAAAAAAGGGACGTGGGGGAAGAAATGGAACAGTTACTATAGGTTTACGCTATGTTGCAACAATGCTGCTAACTTCCAACATGAGAAAAATGATTGAGAAATATGTTAAGCATTCCTGAGTAGTAGATTCTACTAAAAATCTAGTTTGCCACTCCAGCTGCATAAACATTATACTATAACAAGAAGCAGGACCCACGATACTCATGGGGTGGGTGTATTCCCTGCGGCTCCCGGGCTGCCAAGCCTTCTCCCCGCCACCGCCACCCGCAACAGTGACAAGCCCTGCGCAGCTGTGAGCCATCAGGCCCACCAGGCTTCTCCCCCCCACACCGCCGCGGCAACAACGGGCTCAGCTCCTGGCTGCGGGGCCTGCCAGGCTTCTCCCCCCCCCACCTCCGTGGCAACGGCTCCTAGCCGCCACCCCCACGGCTTCTCCACCCCCGCTGCCACCGCCAGCACCAACGGCGGTGAGCCCTGCATGACTCTGCCACAGATCCCAGGGGTAAGTGCGTTCTCTGTGCATGTGCAGGGAATGCTTTTTTACTTTTGGGGGGATTTAAGTTTTCCCCTATAGTTTTTTAAACTTTTCAGATTTTTCTGCACACCTGGGGACTGCCCCAAGTGTGAAGGAAAATCTCCCTGCTCCCCAGGTGCCCCCAATGTGCGGATTTAGATATCCGCACGCAGGGGGCGCCTTCGCTATTAGTATATAGATACTGTAGTATAAAACAGAGGTCCCCAACGTGGCGTCTGTGGGAACTATGGCGCACCAAGCTGAGTCAATCAGCAGCTCTGTAAACCTCCCGGATTCAGCTTCTAGCCTGCGACATGTTGTGTGTGCGTGTACCCAGCACTTTACAATCCCAGACTGTAACCAGTGGGCCAAGTTCAGATTGATGGGTTGAACAGGATACTATAGATCAATTTTTGTTATAGAGCCATTGTTAACACTACTTAATGCTTGTTCTAAGGATGGAATCTAAGACAGAACCAGTAACCTTGACATAGCACGTTTTAAGACAGCCTGTAGGTCAGGAAAAAATTGCACCAGTAAGAGAAGGGCAGAGTGTACATCAGGAATGGGAAATAATGTAAACAACAAACAATATCTCATAAACATATACATATTGTATTTGTCGTATATTGTAAGATATTATATTTATTTTATTTATTTATAATTCGATTTATATCCGGCCCTCCCCTAAGGCTCAGGGCGGCTAACAATTGGGGCAAAAGCCAAATTAAAACAAATATTAAGGGATGTGTACACACACAAACTATATGTATATATTAAACTGAATTTTAACACCTCCCAACCAATTATATTCATAATGAACATGAAATATGATCCCAGAGAAGAATGTATAGTAGTAAAAACAAGAACTCTCGCAGCATCTGATTAAGTGGACCCTACTCCATAAATATTTATGCCATAATAAATCTCTTAGTCTTTAAGGTTTTAATATAATACAACATCATGTTGAAGCTGGCTATATTTCATGTCGCATTTACCTTCTCATGAGTCTTCCTCTGTTCTGGGTCAAAAGGGTGAAGCACATGCAACCCACAGATTTCACATAATTGCCCATGGAGATAGAGACATCGGTCACCAAACTGGCATGTGCCAGCTGCCGCATAAGGACACAGCTGTTCACCATCAGTATACAAACTTCCAGGGTCAGAGTCTTCCTCTTCAAGCCCACAGCGGATTGCTTCCAAATATGAATGGGGCTTTGTTTCTGGAATATCACTTTGGAGACTGCAACATGCCAAGTCACTCTCAGTGTTAGATCTCGACTTTTCTTCTCCTGAGCCACATAAGTCTTGAGAGAGGAAAAAGGGAATACCTGGGTTTCCTTCAAAAGCATATGCCATGGAAGAACTTTTGCTAGCTATTGGTTTAGCTTATGCTACAAAGCAATACCTAGTATTTTTAAAGCTGCCCAGGTTCTATCAACCACAATCCTAATGTCACAAAAACCTGAAAATGTAAAAGGTGCCCTGCTGGATCATATCTCTCACGTTTAGTCCCACACTCTATTTCACTGTGGCCAACCAGTTGCCCGGCCTAGAGGGCACAGGCCCCCTGATGCTGCCCCCTACTGCTGATATCCAGACATTCACTGCCTTTGGAAGTGAAGGATCTCTTTGCTTGTAGTACCAAGTAGCCACTACACACCACAAGGAATTAGATATAAGTCCTGCATTTATCTCATAACATAACACCAAAATGTTACCAAAAGTCTAAATCAAGATAGGAAAAATAATTCCTAATCATCTCTAACAAAATGCTCATCGTGAGGAGAAGCAGAGTGTACCAGAAGGGAGGCCCTGTACATTTCAAGGATCCTGGAAGTTAGAAGCAAGCAGGTTTTGCCCAGATTAAAAACATGGCCCAAAATGCAGCACTTAATTTTCCCTTCAAATGAGTGGTTTCCATTCACTTTTGTGGGATAACACTAAGCAGGTCCCCTGAAACTGCCACTTGAGTGGAGACTAGTTCTAAACAGTTACACCCTTCTAAGTTCATTACTTAGGGTTGCACTGTAAAATGTGCTCTGTGCTTCTGATGATCCTAGCCATTTAGAATTAAGCCTCCAGCTGTATGCACACGTCAATGCTTGGTTCGGTTTCTTAGGGCTAAACTAGATGATACGACATCCCCAAGGACCAGTGTGTTTCCTCTAAGCTGAGTTAGTGTGAGCTAGCTCAGTTTTTTATCCTCCAGCTCACACATTTTTGTCTTAGTTCAGGAAGGATGGCTCGGGGGGGGGGGCGGCTATGACCAGTGGTGGTAGGTAGCCATTACCCACGGCTTGCCATCTGTTTGCTCTTAATTTATTATTTTCAACCCGTTTAAATTTGAAATTCTGAAAACATGCCTCCGAGGCAAGGTAAGAAGGGGAAGCAGAAGGCAAAGCAAAAAATGGATAATATACCTTCTTTGACAGAGTTTTTTGCTGAAGCTGAAACCTCCTCCACAATGGACTTAGGAAATACTGATAAGGGAGGGACTACTCTTACAACAAATTTTCTTTTAGAAGCCTTGGCTAAACAACAACAAGAGTTAAGAATGGACATTGTGGAAATGCTAAAACCAGCACTCCAGCATATGGATGAATTAGAAGAACAGTTTAAGTAAACTAAGCAAACAGCTTATAATGCTTTAAAGAAGGTATCTGCATTGGAGAAACAAACTGCCTGCAACTCCCCTGATTTATGGGCTAGAGAATGCATTCTTTCTTTGGATTATCGTTCCTGTGAGCTACATCTGAAATTCAGAGGATTTAAACCAAATGTTGACAAAGGAACGGAATGAAAAAACTTTATTGCTAATTGGCTGGTTGGCGTTTTAAATCTAGAGGAAGGAGTGGCTTTAATTCAACAGGCTTATCAAGTGGTCAGACAATGAGAGGAAACAGCGAATACTTCAGTTTTATTCGAGATTTCAAGGACTTCAGAACCAGACAATGGATATTAACACAGGCAAGAGGGAAAAAATGGTTTGGAATATCAAGATGTAAAGATACAGGTGTTCCCTGATCTTCCACCAGAATTCCTTAAGATAAGGGAGTTGAAAACAATTACAACTAAACTCTGGGAGTTAGACATCAAGTATCATTGGCTGAATACAGGCAAACTCTGTGTGGAATATAAGCAGGTGATTTCCACAGCTTTTGACCAGGCATCTGGAGAGCAGTTGCTGGCTGTTTTAAATAAATCACCAGGTGAACTACGAGAGAAGACAGATAACAAAAAGAAAACAAGATCACCTCCCACTCCGTTTAAGGCAACCAGAATCTGTCGTTCTGAAGACCGAGAAGAGTCAGATGAAAATACAGACTCCTTTTAAACAACAAGCATTCATGTTTTTCCCTGAGGACTGCCCTTGTTATATCTGAAATAGGGCGACCGGGTAGCAGCAAGCAAATGCAGGTATGTGCCCTCCCTTTAACAGTCCTTGGGTGAAAGGTTAAGTTCTTTCGGCCCATGGGCCTCCTCGGACTGAACTCAGGTTCAAAGAAGAATAGAGTAAGAAGTACTATGATTGGTTTTGAGCCTGTGTATTTTGTTTTAATTTTGTGGTTATGCTGTTAAGGTTTGCTTAAAATACTTAAAATGCAGTACAGGTTAATACTGAGAAGATAGAAGAACTGAAGAGATAGAAAAAAGAAAAGAAGCTTTTATTGTAGATTATTAAAGCAAAAATGTATATGTACATCTATCAAAAAATTGTGATGTAAGAACGTACATATTACTAGCTAAAATTGTAATCTTTATTTGTAATTCAGTTCTTCAATAAAACAATGAAAAAAGGAAGGATGGCTCCAGAGCAGTATTCCCTCTAAGCTGTGGAGTCCTGTGAGCAAAAATTCCACTTTGTGAGCTCCTGGCATTAAAGTTGTGAGCAAGCAATTTGGCTACTGCATAAATTAGTTTGCTCTGGAGCCATCCTTCCTGAGCTAAGACAAAAATCTGTGAGCCGGAGGCTACAAAACTGTGAGCTGGCTCACACTAACTCAGCTTAGAGGGAACACTGCTCCAGAGCACACTAATTTTTGCAGTAGCCAAACTGCTCGCTCACAACTTTAATGCCAGTAGCTCACAAAGTGGACTTTTTGCTCGCAAGACTCCTCAGCTTAGAGGGAGCATTGCTGAGGCCATCGCCACCATTTTACTGATAAAATTCCTTCACTTTACAAATGCTCAGTCCTGCAGCAGTTTGGGCTCTTGAAACAGTGTGTGTGTGTGTGTGGGAGGAGCCACTCCTCCTCTCTTTGCCATAGTTCCAAGCAGAATCAGGCCCCCCTGGCATTCATAAACTGAAGGAATTATAGCAGTAAAATGGCAGAGACGTCCCCGGGTGATGCTGATGGGCGAAGTGCCTGCTTTTCGGTGATGAACCTGCTTGCACAGATCTGGCCAGCGGCTCCAGGAGCCTGCTCTGCTTTGTGCTGGGGAGACAGCAAGAAAGAAGAAATGGAAGTAAAGGGCACTCAGGCGTCTCACTGTAGGAACCTCCTTGGGTGGGGCCATGAGCGTTATGAAGGGAGGGGAGCCTGCCCCCACAAGCAGAGTCAGCTCCTGCAGCAGGAAGGCTACGTGCTCTATACTCCCTTCTCTGCATTCTCGCTCTCCCCCCAGCATGAGACACAACAACTCAGGCAAAAGAGTGAGACGGCCAGACACCACGGGAGAGGAAGCTGGACATGGCGAAAGGGGGCTAAAGCTGCCACATGCTCACCCTGGCCAACTTCGCTCTCTTCCCAGGTGGCTGCCGCGGTGGTAGTTTCACTCTGCGTTCTTTGTGGCCGGCTTGCTCTCCTCCCAGCAGCTGCCCCGCTGCCAGGATTAGAGCACAGAGGCTGCAGAGAAGGGCGAAGAGTTGCTGAAGAAGGGCGGACTCTTTCCATCCATCCCTAGCACACGGCCCACAGCTCATGAAGGCTTGCAGCTTATCCTGCCTCCCGTCCCCCCCAGTAATGGCTGTTTCAAGGTGGGACTCACCTGCCAACCCAAAAGCCCCACCAAGAAGCAGCCTTGCCAGCTTTCTTGGAATATGGGGATGGTGCCATAGCAGGGAATGATGCTGAGAGGAGTCAGGTGGCATGCCACTGAGTATCGCTGCTATTCATACTAGGGGAACAACATAAAAAGATTTTGAAAACTGGGACTATTTATATACGTGAAAGTGCTTCAAATCTCTTTGTATAAGAAAATTACAATCCCATAAATGGGTAACGCACCAGACATACCCGAACCCAACAGAAAATGAAGAATGACTCATAAGTACTTACCCCTGTCCCTGAGCACTATTGTTTTCTTTTCACGTTTTCCAGACTCATGTACTTTACTTTTGGTTATGGGCGCGTTTCGCTCTGACTGAGAGTCAAGACTCTGCAATGCTGGTGCAGCAGAGTAGAGTGTCCTTGTAGGCGCCACGCCACCTGACGATGAAGGTCTAACATGATCGTATCTTATAAACAAATTAAAAAACACAAGAAGAAACTGCTACAGCCATTTATTCCAATGTGTTTTAACTTATTTATTTCATTTTTACCCATACCCATTAATATACAAACATGCACAGAACTGCTGCCTTGGAGTAAATGGCAAAGGAAGAACAACAATGGGACAATAAAGTATATGTCATCTTGTAAACCACAGAGTGACTGCTTAAGTTGGTGGTACACCAGAAGACTCTTCATTGAAAAACAGAAGAAAAAATATAGAACATAGAATTCTTTAAGAGAGGGTGGTATTTACCCCTACTAACTCGGCTACCATCAACAAGAGCCAGATTTGAGGTTCAGGTTGGGGTCTGAAAGCAGAGTGTGGAATCAGAGACAGAAATACCACTTGCCTTCCAGTTTGATTTAAGACATCTATCTATCTTTGCCTTTAACCTGCCTGTTGGGTGGGGCCTGCCCTGCTCCCAACAGTTAAAAAGGTAGCATGGTGTATAGCGAATGGGTCAGATGTGATTGGTAGGTGACTCATGCTGTTAAACTGTAAGGATATTTCTATGTCATATCGCAAGGGTCCCCAACACGGTGCCGGACACCTACCCTGCCACCCGTTGGGGACCTCCATGCTACAGTTTTCAAAGAGATTTTAAAGTGCCATATGTGGAATTTCCAAGTAGTGTCCCTTCCAAGTATCGTCCCAGACCAGTTTATATCAGAAATGAAGTTTAGAAAGTAGGTAGGCCAACAGGGCTTGATTGGCTATGCACATTTTTTAGAAGTTGCTTCAGCAGCAGCCACCACCACAGCACAAGAACCTTACCATCATTCCTGCAGTGAAGCTGTATATATGCAAGAAAATATTTTTAAACTATATACTCATTTAAAAGGCATCCAGTTTGCAATACCTCACTCTCTGACATTTTGTGGTTGTGACCACCACCCTGTGTCTAAAGTGCCCAGAGGCCCAAAAGATTGGAGACCTCTCTCCTATTGACACTAGCCTATGTTGTAAACTCCTAGAAACAAACAGCCACATTGAAGTCAAGGGTAATTGATGGACTGTATCTGTCTAACTATATCAAAGATAAGGAGGTTGGAGTCATGATCTTCCAAAAACATTATTACAACCCTCCACCTCTTAGTTATCACTGGCAACATAGAAAGTCTGCATTTTTTAAAACTGTGAACACTTCATACCTGCAGCGAGCACCATAGGCACATTGTCCTTTCTGATAGAATTTGCAGATAGTAGATGGTTTGCTTGTGGATAAGTCATGTGAAAATAGGCACCTACTTCCTTCCCTGCATATCCCTTGCATAAAATACCTGGAGAAAGAGACAGGAAAAAAGTCAGGACAAAACATATATTGTCAAAAGTTTACTATGATCTGTCTCTTGTTCAGACATGGCAGATAAATCTGCCAAGGTTTTCTACTGTTAGCGTTTACAAGTACCAGAACATGGAATCAGCAAACAGTTTTTAGTGACTTCCATTCAGAGCCTAGTTTCTAAAATAAAAAATGAGCCCACTGAAAATAGGACTTGAAAACTGAAACTGTAACGGGTAGCATAAGATGATAGTACACAGAATAGAAAGTAGTCCTCGTTTAGTGTTTAGATATAATAGGAGTCAGTACATGAGCCGGAGAATACTTTCTATTAATAAAGGGGATGAATAATGTAATAGACTATTGAAAAATTAATATTTTGTATCATTATAAACATTAATAAACTGTGAATTAAAAAACAAAACAAAACTGAAACTGGCTCAATTTAATTGTCAGTTCTTTTTCTTTTGCTGGTGGCGTAAAGAGAATGTACAGAAAATCCGTTAGGAGAGGGGCTCTAAAATGTAATTGGTACCAAGTATTCTAAGAAAATGCTGTAAAGGCGTTAAAAAATGGCGAGGCCTTTGGTTTGACCAAAAACAGATTAGCTTAATGTGAACTTACCATCTGGGTTTCTTATTCATTTAATAACATTTTAGCCCTCTTTTCACCCCAAAACAGCTTAAGGTATGTTGCAATAATTTTTAAAAAGGGGGATGGAAAGTGCTGACAAGTCACAGCCAAATTATCGCAACCCCATAGATTTCTCAAGGAAAGAGGTGACTTGCCCTTGCCTCCCTCTGCATAGCGACCCCGGACTTCCTTGGTGATCTCCCATCCAAATACTAACCAGACCTGACTCTACTTAGCTTCCAAGATCTGACAAGATTGGCCTAGCCTGGGGCCATCAGGGCATTTAAAAAAGCACACCAAACACACCATAAAATAAGCAACTCACACCTATGTAGAACTCAGATTTAAAACATTTATCTGCTGGAAAGCCTACCTAAGTAATTCAGTCTTATACTGTTTTTGAAAGGCGAATAATGTGAAGGACTTCCTGACTTGCTCAGGAAGGCTACTCCGCCACAAAACCTCTGGTGCAGGCAGATAACAAACCTATTCTGCTTGCATGGTTACACTCTAAGTAGGCCTGAGTCTGATGAGTCAAGATGCTGCCCAGGGATATAGTGGGAGAGACAGTCCTGAAAATACATGGGTCCTAGTCCACGGAAGGCTTTATAGCTCATAACCAGCATTTAAAACTGCTTTTAAGAAATGAGTGTGTGGCTCAATAGTACAGCATCAGCTTGTCACGCAGAAAGTCTCAGGTTCAAGCCCTGGCATCTCTGGTTGAAATAACCAAGCAATAGGTGATGTGAAAGACCTCTGCAGAAGACGCTGGAGAGCCACTGCCAGTCTGAGTAGGTAATACTGACCTTGAGGCTCCAATGATCTGATTCAATATAAGGAAGCTTCATGTATGGCCCAGAAACAGATACGCAGCCAATGCAATGATTTTAGCAGGGATGAAACATGTGAACTACACCACACTCCAGACAATAAACAACACGCAGCATTTTGTGCTGTCTGAAGTTTCCATATCCTCTTCAAGGGCAGCTCCTTGTACACACTGTGTACACACATACCAGTCTGTGGTATGTTCGATTCTGCACCTTCACTAATTCAGGCTTCAGTCACTTAGCAGATTGCTGCTGCCATCACTATTTATTCTCTCCCTTCCATCTTGGCAACTGAGATCAGCTCTTCTCTGCCAGTCACAAAAGGCCCAAAGATTAAGTTTGGGGCTATCTCCAAGACAGACATTAAGAACCAGCAGAGAGTTTATGGGATGGTGCATCACCCTACCTTGATCTCATGTTTATTGGCAACAGCAGAGAGAAAGAAACGAAGCTTCTCATGTCACCTAATTTAGCTCCTGTTCATTGGCAATAGCAGAGAGAGAGAGAGAAGCGAAGCTTCTCATGTCACCTAATTTAGCTTTGCATTGATAATACAAACCTCTCAAGCTATTAATCAAGGTACATTCAGAACAAAGGATCCTGCTGCATGAACAAACCTACCAACAAAGACCTATGCACATATTAGAAGAAGAGAAGAAGGGATTGGATTTATACCCGCCCTTCACTACCCAAGGGAGTTAGCATTTTTCATCAAGAAATTCATAGTCCAGCATGATCTATTTTGGACTGATAGTAATTTCCCACTCCTAATTCTAGTTCTGTGAGTCAACCAAGGCTGCCTACAACAAATCTTCCCTTTCTTTCCTTCTACAGAAATGTTCCCAGGACTCCGGCACTCTCTCTTCACCTTTGGCCACTCAGGAGGCATACCTAGTAGTTCCCCTGGTCCCTTTCCTACATTCCAAGCTAGAAGACAAAAGAATATTTTGTTTTGGAATTCAAACCTTACTGCCATTTGGAATACCTGTATATTACTATCAACATTCCAGTGTCCACTGCTGCGGAGTGCTCAAGTTATCATGGCTGCTTCGAGTGTGCTAATCCTTCCCCTCAATAAACTCTTTTTGATCCCATCACGTTCGATTCTCAGTATTTCTTCCCAACTGGTACTAGGAGCCGTGCCACTTGGTCAGCAGGTCCCCTTTAATGTTCAGCTTCTCACTGGCCACAGGGGGCACATTCCCCCACATCGGTCATAACAATTAAACCAGCAGGAGCGAGAGGCGGCAAAAGGAAATCTTCCTTCCTTCCGCACAAAACCTATTCCACAGCGGACTGAATGGAAAGTGTGTAGGGCGCATACGTGCCCCTTCGATCACGCAGGGTGACAAGAGCGCTGCAGATTATTGGCAATGGCGAGGAGAGGAGCCGCGCCAAATACCGTCGAAACACCGGACCACACAGCCCTCATTCGCCGCGAGCGACGCATCCAGAACCCACCCCACGCTTTGGCCAGGGGCTCCAAGGAACCCATCAAAAAAGAGGCGCGGGGAAGGAGGCCCGCGTGGGCTGCCGAAGGGCTGTTGCCAGGGCGATGAAGCCATCAGCACTGCAGGTCCTCCTTCCCTGCCTCCCTTTGGGCTGGGGGAAGGGCGGTGGGGGGGAACGGGGCCGCCGGAGGGAGCGCGAGCGCCCCTGGACCCCTCCCCCCTCGGGGGGCGGAGCGAGCCCGGCCGAAAGAATTGCGTGCGGTGGGATGGGGCGGCGGCGGGGGGAGGCTCCTCCGGCACCGACCAAACGGCGGGTGTCGGGCTCTGACCTGCAGGTCACGTCCTTAGTGCTGCTCATGTCTCCTCCGGCTTCGCTTCGTCGGCGTCCCCTCCCCACGCAGACCTTCGCATTTTGGTTCCGCCAAACGTAGTGGAGGGGAAGGGGAAAGGGTTGGGGGAGGAGCCGCTTGGGAGCCCCGCCAAAGCAATCCGGCCCCTTTCTACGGGAACTGGTTTCCCATCGGAAACCTTTAAGCGACGACCTCGATCGTACAGACTGGCAAAATGTCTATGGTAGGGCAAGCTGGGCGCGGAGGTTGACGACGGAAACCAGAGCGAGCTCCCGCCTGAATCATAGAGAAAGAGTTAGAGCGTCCCCAAGCTGCCCTACGGAGAGAAGACGGGCCGCTTCAGCACCATTTGATCATGTAACCATTGAGCGCACCATAGTAAAAAAATACGGATTTCTCGTCTCCACCTCCCCCCCCCCAAACCTTAAGGATTCGGTATCTTTCCCACCTGTCTGAGACTCTGACGTTCTCTCTCTTGATCTTTGCAGTATACACTACTAAACATGTTTGTCAAACTTGTTTGAAGGAGTTTAATCTGCCCGAAAACTTTAAGGTCATTCTAAAGCGAATAAAACACAGGGTTCTTAAAACGAGCGGGATACAAGCAGACAAAGACACACCCCCGTCTTCTCACCGCTTTCGTCTGTTTCCTATTCTAAGCATGATTGGCTATATAAGCTGTCATACTTGATAATGCTCAACAAATCCCTTCCCTTTGCCAGCTGAGTAGCTAGTACTGGCTTTCGTCACTGAGGTGTGACAGGTACAAGGCAGTGGCTGACGTGATGCAGCTACTGGATTCAGAGACAGCCTTAATAAAAATCAGCCACTGTAAGAAAGACATATTTTTCCCTTACGTGCCAAAGTACTGTCCTCTGTGTAGACAGAGTGTGAGCTGCAGGAGACTGGAAGATGCACCTGTCAGTATTCCCAGCCCTTTTGTTAATGGGCACAGAGAAAAATGCTCTTTTTTACTTAAGCCTACTTCAGGAACATTTCTAAGGTATGGTTATTCTCACTTTTCTTTTTGACAGTACTAAATTAGATATTGTGTATCATCACCTTGTTGTGTTGTCAGAATAGGAATGTATGAAGCTGCCTTCTCCTGAGAGAGGCTAGTAGTCCAAGACTGGCAGTTGATCTCTACAGTCGAGCCAGGTGTGTGTTCTGTGTAATCTTTAGCAAGGCTAGAATTGCCAGGGACTGGAGACCTTGATAGGCAGAGCATATGTTCTACCACATAATTCTGTGCCTGTCCTGATGCAGTCAGGGACTCAAGAGTTGCCCACTCACATAAATCTACATCTTCTTGTTTTGCTAATATAAGCAGAACCTGGAAACAATTTCTCTTGAAACCAAATGGACTGCATTGTCTGGTTTGTTGCAAAAGCTGTGTAGAGTCACTTATCCCCAAATCGCCTCCTTGGTTAATTTCAATAAATGCTTTTGCAATAGATCAAAATGGGACTCAACAATGACTAGATTTGTCTGCGTCACATGTCTCTTTCAGGAAAAAACAGGACTTCTGTCTGTACAGCATAAGTACAGCTTTTAAAAAAAGCCCAAAAATGTTTTCTAGTAAGAAAAATATTAATTTTTTTTCCAGAGGGTATGATGGAAATTCTGATCTTCATGTTGGAATAACCAGTACTAATGGTAAGAGTTTTTTGTAATTAACATCTCAGCTGTTTTCTCTCTGCACCTCTTGTGTGTATTGAACATTCAACTTCACATTGCTATGTAGTGGATTTACTATAAAGCAGGGAATGCAGATTTATGCGCAGTCAAGCAAGGTCAGCAATGGATGTGTTATCTGAAAAAGAAGAGATTGGATTTATACCGCACCCTTCACTACCTGAAGGAGTCTCAGAGTTGCTTACAATTTCTTTCCCTTCTCCCCATAATAGACGTCCTGTGAGGTAGGTGGGGCTGAGAGAGCTCTCTAAAGAACTGCCCTTGAGGGAACAGCTCTGAAAGAATTTATGACTGACCCAAGGTCACAACAGCTGCATGCAGAGGAGTGGGGAATCAAACCCAGTTCTCCCAGATTAGAGTCCGCGCTCTTAAACTCTACACCAAACCAGCTCTCTCTGCCACTTATCTGGGTCTATTGTGCTCTCTGATGTTGGGTGGAAGAGACAAGGAACAGAACCAGATGTTGAGATTTTGTGGGCCCCATACAAGAGATCAACAGCAGACCTCTACCTTCACTGTGTGCAAGTGCATGAACACACACACTTCCTCTCCCTGACCTGTCAGAGTGCAGTGGTGCCCAGACTTTCCTGGCAGCAGGTGATGATGAAGAAGAGAGAAGTCCCAATCAAGCATTCCTTCTGGTCTGGGAGAAGGCTGCTGTTCTGCATACAGCATAGCAAGGAGGATCTTCAGACTTTGTGTATTGCAGGACATGGCTTT